TCCTGCTGGTTGGGCCTTGCACAACGGTTGGTGGTGCCTTTTAAAGCAGCGTCTGTTGGGCAGCATGCAGAGTCAGGTTGAGGGCGCTCATTTCTTATCCCTGGTGCAGCAGTTGTCAGAATCTAGACATTTTAAAAAACTGTGTCTAAAATTATGTTCATGGGGATTGCCTGAGTGTTGAGCATTATTCATCCTATTTTGGGTGGATGACTTAAAGGAGATTTGGAAGCCTCAGTTTGGATGTGACTCAGGCCTTTGGCAGATGTTACACTTAGGATGCAATTAACCTGTTAATTGTGTGATACATTCAGAGAATTAATAGCATGACAAAATGGGGAAACCAGCAACTAAAATTTTCCACAAAATTTACATTAAATATGTGGCAGTGTAGCCATATAGCCTGACACTGACTGCAGGGTGGGGCTGGGTTGACGGGTCCCCCATGTTGGCAGGCTGACGGCTATGTGGTGGAGCTGCACTCTGCTCTTTTCAAGGTTCCAGCTGTAGGGGAGCTCTTTAGCTGGGCTGGGTACTGGGTTGCGGGGAGCTGTGGGGCTCACTGACCTGGTGATTTGGGTTAAACTGCTTTGCCCACACCTCCTGCAGGGGTTGAGGAACAATGCAGGTTCTGTTGCCAGGTTGTGGAGAGCCCTGCAGCTCCCCATAACTTAGCAGGTTGACTGTCTTACCCCACAGCTCCTACGCAGTTGGGGAACAAGGCATTTTACACATCCTGACTCTCTCCTGGAATCAGGGAGAAGTTCCCTGATCCCAGGGTCCCTTTGCATCGGCATCTTTAAAACCACGAATACAGCTGGGCTGCTCTCACAGTTTTCTGACATCCACAGAGCACTAGGCTCTGGTGCCTGGGGCTGCACCTGAGTCCCAAGCTGGCTCTGTTGTAGTCTTGGCACCAAGACAGACAATCAGCTGAACCAGCTCTAGTCTTAACCTGACTCAAGTGTGGTTCTGGGTTGAGACTTGACTATCAGCTGATTGAGGATCTTGCCTCCAGGACTGCACTGGAGTTTTGAATCAACTCCAGCGTTGTCTGGAGGTTGGATTTGATAATCAGCCAAAGTGTTGGTCCCTGTCCCAAGACTGTATCGGTTTGTGCTGCACTGCAGGCACCCAGCTTTCAACTTGCCAGTGCATGGGGAGCCCAGAATTGTGTTCTTCGGGCTTGCCTTGCATTGACAAATAGAAAAAGCACAATTGGGAACTGAACCCTGATCTTAAGATCACATATCCTGCCATGCACATGGGTGTAGCAGGAGATGTGATTTTTTGGGATCAGGGATCAGATCCCATTGCACCATTAAATGCATGTGTGCCAGTGGCCTCGTCTTGATTGACTATAGGTAGAAAAGGTGAGTTTGAGTCAAAGATAAAACCAAGGCTGCCAATGAATGGAATGTTTCAGTTGAGATGGAAGGTGAAGAAGATAGGTATGTTTGAATGTTCCTCTTGACCCGCGGGGGTCACTTTTTTTCCTGGCACTTTTGAAAAAAATGAAGTAAAATATTTTCTTGGTTGATATTAGTTGTGATGGAAGATGCACACAACTGAGTATCATCAGGATGAAATGAATAGGTAAACTGATTTAGGAAGGACGAGAGAAAAAAAAAATTGTGTGATGCTGTAAATTTGGAGATTGTACCAGAAAAGATGAGCAGAAACTTGACTGGGTACCAGATAGGACCATATGTTTATACAGTTGATTGATGGAGTTGTCCTCCCCATCTCTTAAAATGAGTTGCTGCAGCGAGCTCTATATAGAACTATGTTTTATTTTGGAGTTTTGAGGCCATTGGATTTGTTGTAGAGTCCAAATCATTTTCACAGAATTGTCCTGAACCGATGCTTTCATATAAAGATGTCTAGACTTGATTGTTGTGAAGAAAACCTTGAAAACATGAGCAAAATATAAAACAATGCAAACTTGTTTTTCTGTGTGTGATGACAGCCTTAAATTATAATTAGATATGAACTGACTTACTCATTTCAGTGGGCTTTAAGTCTCAAACCAAATATGACAATTTAAATGGTAGTATCATTAACTATTTCACCACTGTTCATTTTAGCAGAACTATTCAGCTGTCATACTTATCCTAAACTGCTTCTTAAGCCTCCCCAAGGTGCCAGAAGGCCCATCTGTCCCCTTCCCAGCTGCCAAAACCTCTAGCTTCTGCCATGTGGTTATCCTTGACTAGTATGCCAGGCTTTGGAATATTAAAAACCTAAAAAGGTGGGCATTTTAAAATAAATGGACATCAGCATCCAAATAGTGCAAGCTACTGTACTGATTTGTATTTTTCAACTTCCTATTACTTTGAATGCAACCTCTCATCCTGTAAATGAACTTGCTGCTAAATTTCCAGTCTGTCTTTGTCCTGTAGAATTCAGCAATCTTGTTTAACAATTGAGGTCCAGCTTCCTATGGCATTTGTGGACTTGGACCAAACTGAGAACCATTCAGATTAGCATACAGATCACTTTGGATGCACTTTTTTCTAAATCCTGTGAATAGAATTTACACTATTGAGGAAACTCAAAGTAGATGTGCTAAATTATTTTATTTTACTTACTTTTTAAACAGAGGTGCCAATTTGGGGAAGAAGAAGCAACACATCTGTCACATACCTGGGTGTGGAAAAGTGTATGGGAAGACTTCACATTTGAGAGCTCATCTCCGTTGGCATTCTGGAGAGCGTCCCTTTATTTGTACTTGGATGTTCTGTGGTAAAAGGTTCACTCGCAGTGATGAATTACAGCGACACAGAAGGACACACACAGGTTATCTATTTGTGATTTTAATAAATTTTATAGGAGGAATATGAAGGCTTGAAATCTTACAGACATTTTCTTTTTGCATAAAAAAAATTCCATTGGCCTCATAGTAAACCCCAGTCTTGTATCAAAGAACAAAATTTAGCCTATAGTCTTTTTCTTCCATAGGAATATTTAGATCTGTGTGGGTAGTTCATTTTTTTTTTTTGGTTTGCTGGCATTTCCAAAAAAACCCCAAACTTTTCTGTCATCCTGATATCGAAAGCTTTGGGAATTTTTGGTGAATCATCCCGGTTTCAAAGCGTTTTGGTTGACCCAGAATTAAACTTTTGTTTCAATTTTAGGCAATTTGTTTTTTAATATAAGCAAAGAAAATTTGGAAATAAAAGGTGACTTAGTTTTTGTGCATTGGACTGCACTTCCCATGTAATAATCTTTCCTGCCTAGTATTTGCATCGGTCTCAAACACTTCTGTTTCACAGGACACCTGTGCTTTGTTGTATAGACTCTGCAAGAGGGTTTACCAGTAGAGGCAAATGAAACTATAGAGGCAGCATATTAGGTCTGAAGCAGGTTATTGATGGTGCTTTTTCAGTTGCCAATCAGGTCCCTTAAAACTCATTAGGGAAACTAATTTTTTTAATTATTTTTAAAAAACCTTTTGTGTAATACAAGTTAGTTAAAATTAAAAAAAATAAAAGGTCGGTTTCAAGATATTCAAACTTTTCTATTAAACATTGAGGGTTGTGGAAATTCGAACATTTAAGTCTACTTTTTTGTGATTTATGCACATATTTACTAATGTTAAGAACAATCTTTCTTTGTTATCCTTGTAACAGGTGAGAAGAAGTTTGTCTGTCCAGAATGTTCAAAACGCTTTATGAGAAGTGACCACCTTGCCAAACACATTAAAACACATCAGAATAAAAAAGGTATTCACTCTAGCAGTACAGTGCTGGCATCAGTAGAAGCAACACCTGATGATACTTTGATTACTGCTGGAGGAACAACACTTATCCTTGCAAATATTCAACAAGGTTCTGTTTCAGGAATAGGAACTGTAAATACATCTGGCACCAGCAATCAAGATATTCTTACCAACACTGAAATACCTTTACAGCTTGTCACAGTTTCGGGAAACGAGACAATGGAGTAAATATTACACAAAATACCTATTAATTGTGGTTATTTTTATACAGTAGTGAGAAGAATATTGTTCCTAAGTTCTTAGATATCTTTTTATTGATGTGCAAAAATTTTTGGATTGACAGTAACTTGGTTATACATGACACTGAAATGCCTTACTTTGTATGATATTCCATAGTATATTAAAATGGTAAAATTGCATGGGTTTTGTAGGTACTTTTGGAATCTAGAAGAGATGAAATTTTACCAAGTTATATTAAAAAATGAATTTAACGATGGGAATGGTAGTCTAACCAAATGCATCAATCCTGTGTGGTTTAGTGTAAAAATGAGAACATGTTGGTATTTATCTATTGTAAGATAAAAGAAGTTGATGAGTGAAAAGAAATCATGTTATGATAAAAGAAATTTTGTAATTTTCTTGATGACTGGAATTTTTATTATGCATAACTGACAAATCAAGTTTCCAAGCAAATGTTACATAGTGTAGGCTTTACTTAGCTCATCAACTTGTCATTTTGAAGCTAATTATTTTAATTAGGTTAACTATGTACAATATTTTAAGCATTACTCTTGTAAGATTTTGAAAACTACATTTTAACATGGAACTCTAGGGATAGTCACCTTTTAAATCCTGTTGAAAAGCCATGTTTAAGATTTAATTTGCCAAAATGATGTCTTGTTAATATTCTTTCAATAACCAAGTTGGGCAATATAACCAATGTTTAAAAAAATTAAATTGTTTAAAAATGTATAGGTTGAGGCATTTGGGTGGTAAGGCAAATGTTGTAGTGGAATATATCCCTTTTTCTTGAACATTGGAGGACCAAAAATAAGGTGTATTGCGTCTCAGCAGTGGTTTTTTTTTTTTTTTTTTAAATCAAATCTTGTTTCCAAAACATCTGTCTGCCAGGGCCTTAAAAGCCATCATGTAAATTACCAGTAAAAATATAACATATGCAAATATAACAGAAAATCACTTCCATAGTGACAATACTCCCAACCATATGGATATAGTCATAGTGTACTAGGGGTTTTAAAAGGTTTTTTGTTTGTTGTTTAGCTTTTGGTTAGTCAATCTGCATTTAAATATCAGCCATCTTTCCTTTGCTTCTTCCCTTAAAAATTGTATGTATCCAGTACATTTAACTGATAAACATATGTTTTTTATTATGCTGAATTTTTTCTTTTTCTTTTTTAATTACTGTTTATATTTTCAATTATAGAAAAATGTACAAAATGAAGTTACATAGCCAGTCTGTAAGTGCTATACCATTTTCCAAAAATGTACAACAATAATTATAGCAGTTCACCTATTTGCAAACATTTGGAAATCTGTTCATTTGTTATTCTTAAAACCACCTCAGATTTAAAGGCTACCTTATTGTACGTTTAAAGTGTATTATAACAGTGTGGTAGTTAATAAAACACTATTTTTTTTCTTTTGACTTGAAGTTTACTGTATTCCTTTGTATTAATTAACAGGGTATAGTTTGCTAAACTTCTAATAGCTTTAACTTTCCTTCAACAAAGTTCATAATGAAATTACTTGTGTATTTTTTCAACTGTTTTGCTATACTTGATTCCAGAAATGCCTGCTGAATAAGGCAGGATCAGCAATGGCAATCTAGTCCTTTCCTGACAAGCGGGCTCCTGAAAGGCTTAATGTAACAAATTGGAGCTATGCTAGAAGAACAAACCTCATTTTAATCTTTTTTTCCAATCCTTAACTCAGTGGGTTGGCTATTTTCCACATACATATTTTGTATTTTTCAGGGGGTAATTTATATGGTAGCTTCCTACCCTGGTGCTTGGCAGGACACAAAAACATGGTCTCGATCCTAATGAAAGAGAAGGTAACAGATTTTAAGAGTCATATTAGTTATGTGTATCAATATACTTGATAGGGAAGTGTTTCAAGGGATTTGAACAAAAATATCTTAGCCTTTTGGCTGACTGGGAAGCTGACACCTGGGAAAAAGATATTGGGGAGTACTGAGAAGCTTTTGTTGGTGTGAAAAAAAAGTAAGTAATGACAGTGGTTACAGATAATAGCCAAGTTGTCCATGGCTCTAAAATGAGCACAGTATAAGAAGGTTGAATTTGTGGAGTAAAAGGGGGAGACGTCTTGAAAGCACCAAAAGAGAGAAATGATCAATGCCAGACCGTAATGTAACTTTGAATATATTGGATGGAGCAAACTGAAGAAATTCAAGGCAGGTGATCAAGGTGTTTTGTGCCTCTGACTGAAAGTTTAGTACTTCCTGTACAGAGAACCAGAATGTGACAGTAGCCTGTAAGAAAAGAGGAATCAATACTGTGTTAGCCCAAAGTCATGTGAACCAGGTGTTTATTTAACATGGCTGATGAGGAGGGGAAATGGTTTTAGAGAAAAGAGCAGTTTTAGCCATATTGGGTGTGTCTGCACATGTGCTTTAATGCACAGTAGCCTATTTTACTGCTTATTAGAGCATCACATCAAAAATGCTAATATGCTAATGTGCAGTAAAATTAGGCTACTGTGCCTTAAGCATCACTAAAAAAGTGCACTTTCTCTACTGTGCATTAGGGCAGCCTAATGCACATTTTTAAATACCTCACAGAGGTACTAAATTTTAATGCACAGTAACAAAAGTGCATTAACAAACGTGTAGATGCACCCACTGTGTGTTGGTGGCAAGACATACAGGAAAAAATCTCAGGCAATTGGCTGTTATGTCTGGATAGGGAAGAGGTTTAGAATGGAAGTAAACTGGATTCTGATTCATGAGACGTGCGAGAGGATGACAGCGGGGAGTGAAGATAGTGATGAAGAAACAGGAAAGAATACTGAGAATCAGATGTGAGCAGGTAACAATGCTGAAGATAATGGACGATGTAGCAGGAGAGCAAAATGAAGGAAACCAACAGGATGAGGTTCAGTAAAGAAACCATGGTGATTTCAAATGTCATATACAAGTCCATGAGGTTGAGAATGAAGGACTCTTAGTTAAGGGCAAGAATAAGTAATTTGTGATGCTTAAGCTTTGGAGCAAGAATGGGCAAAAGCTGACTAATTAAACCAAGATTTAATTATTCCACCATTACTTCAGAAGCCTTGGTTTTTTCAGACCCATGAATTGTGGTTCCACATTGAAAATTATGTTGACTTTGTTTTTTATAGATACCAGTCCAAGCTGATTTTACAGGTCTGGCAGCACAATATGTAAATCATGCTAGATTTTCTTGCACTATAGTATCAGATTGTATAGGATAAGGTTTGCACTTTAATTAGAGCATAATTAGTATTTGTTGATGCCTTGAACCAGCATAGAATCCAGTTTTTTTCCAATGCTCAGTTTCTTCTTTCTCTCCCCCAGTTGATTTCCTCTATGCTACTCTTTAGGACCAGAACCCCAAATCTGTCTGCATGCCCCCTGCTTTTTTCCTATCTAATTGCACACTACTCAGTTTCTGCAAATGGCATTTTCTATGCGCAATAATCCTAAAATCCCTCAAACATTTTAGTTTTTCTTGGACTGCAGTCAACAATACTTCCCACAGATATGACCAAGGGCCCCTTCAGTGGTTGTTTTTGTAGTGCTACAAAATTTGTGGCATCACAAAATATAAAGTACTGTGGGCAGCCACATAGTCAAACCCCCCTGGCTGGAGAGTGACAGAGTTGCCATGACGCATTCTCTAGCCACGGTGCAACAGGTGGTTCTTCCATAGCTTCCCCTGCCCTTGGGGAACTTTAAAGAGCTTGCATGGTAGAGAGGCTCAAAGAAAAGCTTGCGTGTCCTTTAAAATTTCCAGATCCCTGATAGCCCACCAACCAGCTGAAGCCAGTATCAGGCTGCCCAGTAATGCTTTAAAGTTCCTGGATTGAAGGCAGCTCTGTCACTGTCAGGTGGCAAGGAATGACGGGGCTCCCTGTGAGCCTCTGGGGGTGAGAAGTGCTGATTGGAGGTCTGTCCTGATCCACCTCCATCCCTTCATCAGCCTCTGCTACTGTTTGCAAGGGACCTCACTTTTGCCACCTACCTGGGGCTTTCCCCAGGTGCCTTGCATGCTGGGTAGCTCTGTGCCCTACCCGCTACCCCTTCCCTGCAGGGACTGAGGCCGTTCATGTGTGCAGAATTTTAAAAGGCACATGGGCAGCACAGCACCTGGGAGAAAGTCCATAGTGCAGGACTTTTCTTGCACTCAGGGGTTTCCCTGACTGGACAACCCCCTGCTGGGTCACAACAGGTCCAGGGCAATCTGCATGCTTTCCAGAAAGCTCATGCTCAGCTAATTGTCAGGGAGCTAGCTGCTTGCTCTCCTTCTCACCCCTTTGGAGAGGGAGCAAAGGAGAGCAGAGCCCTGCGGGATTGTGGATGGTAGAGGTCTGGCCAGACGTTAAATTGTCCTGGTACAACAAAAGATGCTGTTTGAATCCACAACTTCTTTGTCACGGATCCACCATTTTTCTTCCTCAGAACAAATTCTTTTAACATTAGATGTGTTACCATTTATTGCAGGAAATTTGCATATATCCTGCAATAAATGTAATGGCTAGAGGAGACCTAAGTGTTCAAACTTATATACCTCTGGCTTTAGCTCCATAAACTGAAGGATCTTAGTTTTATTACTCGGATCCTTCAGCTAATTCATTCATTAGGAAGATCTGAGTTTTATTACTTTCCAATATCTAGTCCAATATTAAGTGTTTTTTGCACTTGGTAACCTGGCTTTCAGCTTGTATTGGTTTTACATTGTCTCCTCTCCAGGTGTACCTGAGGCTTCACGCAGCTGGATGCTGTTTTGTTGCAAGTTGATGCTGTCCGCAGAAAGTCAGTGGGAGACTCTATTAAGGCAGCATTATTCTTCAAAAAATGTTCACTGTGTCTCAGACGGCCAGAGCCGACTCGAGGTGATTTAGAAATTGCTCGTTCGTCAGGGCGGGCTGGTGAATGGAGAGGCAGACAAGGTTTAATGGTTGCAAAAACTTTTACTTACACCGCTTGTAGTTGCGACGCAGATGGTCTGGTCGTCTGAACAACTATGTGAGTTGTTCCAGCTGGCGAGGCCCAAGCCAGTTAATCCGTCCGCAATTCAAGCCGGCGGGAAAAGGGTACGTCTGGGATTGCGCTAGGCGACGGGAAGAAAGATCGATAGGTGATCAGTCTATCAATCAGCTAGCCGCAAGTCAGATCTCTTTAGAGGCACTCTGCAGCGTGCTCAAAGTTCTTCGACTTGGATGGAAGTCGCACGGAATTTTAAACGGCTAGCAAGCCAATTACTAGCCGCCACGTGTGAATAATTTAGCACTGGCCAATAGCGGGACACAAATTTGCATTCAAATAGCGGGAACTCTTTTCACTGTGCATTTCTGTGCTGCAAAGAAGAAATGCACCCTGCAAAGAAAGCTGCAAATTGGCGGGAACTCTCTTGCACCGAGGTTCTTCTGTGCAGCAAAAACTCTCGCTGTGCAAGAGGCTCTCATGTGGCAAGAAAATTCCATCGTGCCGAGGCACCAAAATCACTGGGTTGTGACACACTGAAAGAATTTTTGATGTAAAATGAGGTTATACTGAAATAAATGAGCAAAATGTGTCTGCTTTCTAAGGGAAAGTTAGTTAATTAAAATGAAATATTTTGACCCAAAATATTTTTAGTTCTCTTTCAGTGACTGACCGACCATAATCCAAGGGTTATGATGCACCTTCAGTCCTCACCAAGAGGACATAAAGTAGCATACTGTGGAAAAGAGAGAGTTGTCACTAACATAAGGTACCAGAAATAAAGCTCCCATGGTGCATTGTGCTACCAATATGAGTCTAAATATTTTGATTTGGGGCCAGTCAATTGTTCCTCACTTTCTAAGCAGAGCTAATCTGGAAAAAAGTATTGGTAAGAGACATCACTCAAGCAAAGACTGATCATCCAGACTTGGATGCTCTTTTGGGCTTCTACCAGAAGGTACTCTGAGAAGGGACC